GAGGCCATCATTGTGGCAACCTTTGTAATGATTCTTGTTTGAATATATACAAAGGTGTTTGTCTTTTTGAAAAGATATTTCAATGTTTTACAAGTTTGTTTTGAAATTGTGTTGTGATGTGTGTTTGAAAGTAGCAAGGATGTTTTGCAAGCTTTGATCAAGTAACTAAGAGTTGTCTACCCTAATTTACTCAAAGATCTTTCTTATGTTTTTAACTCTTTTGACAGTGTCATTTCACCATTGCATTTGGTGAACAACCTTGTGTTAGGATGTTTAAACGGGACAGGCGTGGGTCATCGCATCCAATCATTGAAAGCAACTTGTGAGACGCTCTAGCAATTTTGTAAGGGACGAGATCGTTTTATTGAAGGCAACATCGAGGGTCATCGTGGGACTACGATCTTTGTTTATCGAAGGGGAATTTGCTAGAGTGTCTCATATTCGAGGGACATGATTGCATTTCCGAGGCAACAGGCGAGGTTACCCTAGAGGTGCAAGTGTGCATTGTGTTTGTCAATTTCATGCATTTGTCTTGTATTAGGTCATCTAGCGATTGATTTTAGATTTTCGCATACAAACCCTAATCTCTAGTCATGGCATATTTGAAAGCGTAAAGTGCGAGAATTAAAATTCTAAGCTATTACAAAAGTATCCGGGGATGGGGGTACAATTACTTACAAATGGGGATGAATCTCACAAGGATAACAATGTCCAAATATCAAATGTTACAACCAAATCGAATCGTCACAATTCAAATATAAAGCTATAACAAAACATAAAATAAAGAGAATCAATAAACTATGAAATGCATGTATTTATTAACTTAAAAATAAATAAATAAAATCTATTCTAAAAAAAGAAAGATTAAGTATTATATTATTATTTTTTTGTATGTATGTCTAATTATTAAAGGAAAAGTTTAAAGAAACAAAATTAATTAAATTAACGCTCTTGATCATTTTTGGTGTTTTCTTGTTAAATATAAGAAAATAAAAGAAAAAATAATAAAAAGAAGAATGATTAAAATTAGTTAAGAAAAAGAAAATTAAATTAAATTAATTTTAAACATATATTGAATTTCATTAATGTATTAAAAGAAAAGGAAAATTGAAGTAAATCAAGAGTAGGCCTAAGGGTTTGTGTTGGGCCCAAGTAAAAAAATAAGAAAAAAGGGTGTGATCAGAAATAGAGGAAGTGCATTGGTATTGTGTATATGGGCTATTGCATTTGGGGCCCAAGGCCCAGTACGTTTGTTGACAATGTTTTGGTTCTCAAAATTAGGGTTTGAAAGGATTAGGGTTCATGTGCTACAACGGCGCCGCTCTCTCTCGTCTGTTCTCTTCATCTTTCTCAGTCACGATGCTCTGATTCTACCTCCATGAGCCCTATCCGCCGGTGCGCCACCTCACTCTCTCCCCTCTTCACGACTATCCAAGGCCCTGTTCGAACGGTATAATTCGTTTGATTTTTTTAGGGTTTTACAGTTTCATGGTTTGATTCGCTTGATTTTTACAGTTTGTTTGTTTAAGCTTTGTTCATGTCCTAGTTTGATTAACCTATGGTCTTTACATGTTTTGAGATGCAGTAAGGGTTTGAAAAAAACGTACCTTGGAAAAAAATGGAGAGGAAAGGTGAGATGGAGTTGGTGGCGGCGTTCTTGGTGGCCGGAGGCGGGAGGGAAAAGAAATGATGGGCACGCTTTTTTCTGGTATCTTTGTCTTTCTCTTGATTTGTTGAAGTTTGATGATGAAATTGGTTCTGAAAACTGTGTTTTTGTTGATTGTTGATGATGAAGTTGGTTCTAAAAACTGTGTTTTTGTTGATTGTTGATGATGAAGGTTTCTAAAACTCTTTGCCTTTGCTTCTGAAACTCTTTCTTTCTCTCTCCTTGAGTGTTGATGATGAGTGATTCTGAAACTTTTGATATTGTTGTTTTTGAATATGATGTTTGATGATGAAATATTCTAAAAACTTTGTTTGTTTTGCTTCTGAAACTCTCTCTTCTCTTCTTGGCTTGTTAATGATGATTTTCTGAAACTGTGTTTTTTATTGATGCTTATTAATGATGATGATCTGAAACTTGTGATCTTTTCCTCTACCTTGAATATTGGTGATGATTAGACTGAAACTTTGTTGTTGATGGTTTGGAAACTTGGGAAGTTTGGTTCTGTAGTTTGGTTGTACAGTTTTTTTGTGAAGGCTTGAAACTGTTTGGCAAAGCTTAGGGTATTTTGTAGTTTGGCAAGTTTGCAAGTTGTTTTGGCAGCTTGACAAGTTTTGCAGGTTTGGCCAGTTTGTTTTGGCTATGCAGGTCTGCTTGTTTTTGGTGAGCTTAGGCAGTTTGCAGGTTGTTTTGGCAGCTTGGCAAGTTTGCAGGTTTTTGTTGTTGTAGCTTTTGCAACTTTGCAGGTTTTTGTTGTTGTAGCTTTAGCTGGTTATTTTGCAGCTAGCTTGGTTGAGCTTGTTTTGCAGTTTTGAACTGCAGGTTGGGAAGTTTGATTTGCAGTTTGGAAACTTGGACAGATTTTGGCTATGCAGGTTTGCTGGCTTGGTTCCAATTGGTTTTTGTTGTTTGTTTAGGCTTATGCAGGTTGGGAAGTTTTTGCAGGCTTTGGAGAGCTTTTGTGTTTTCTGAGTTTTCTGTAATCTCTAATGTTCTCTCCCCCTAGACTGTTATGCAGTCTCTTGTTTTTATATCTTTTTGTTTTTTTTTGCCTTTGTTAACTTTTGACAGTCTGCTTTAGCCAAACTGCAAAACTTCACCCAAGGTGCTATCTTTCTCTCTTTTCTCTCTCTCTCTCTCTCAAATAAGCACTTTTTGCTTATTATATTATATTCTGAAAAGTTTCCTATGCCTGGAACACGATGAGAACTATGACAAGCTCTTGGTTTGTCAATTGGTTTTCCTTCTGCATTATATTACCTGCTATTACTGTTATACTTTCTGCATTGTGTACTTTTTCTTTGTTCAATTGCTTAGTATAACTTGCATCTGGTTTGGCTTGTCATGCTTAGTTTGCTTAGTTTATGTTTGTATAACATATTCAGCAATGCATCTTGACTTGTTTTGCAACTCAGTTTGGTTTTGCTTTAGTATACTTGGTTGCTGGACAATTTGAATTTTGGCGCCTTGGTTTGCCTTTGCAATGCCTATGTTTGCAAGCTTTGTACAGCATGGTCCATGTTTTGCATTTGAGCCAATTGCTTTTGTATGCTTGCATTTTATTTTTTACTTTTCTCTTTGTGAGCCAAGAAGAGAAATCTTCTTGTGATTTGCAAAGAGAAAAATAAAACATGATGAACAATAGCACACTGATTCCGGACGGCAAACTTTAATGATGAATTTCTCCTTTCCTTTTTGTTTGAAAATTCTTTTCTTTAATTAACTGTACTAATTTCTTTTTCTTCTTCTTTTTCAGGTGAATACAACTTGGATGATAGAGGAAGCAGAGGAAGCAAGAGACTTTGGGCTTGGGAGCAATGGAGTTTTAGGAGGCTTAGGCTTAGAATTTTTTATTCATTGTAATAATTTATTCTTCAAATATTATAAGTTGTAAAACGTATAATATTCAAACAATAAACTATTTTTGTAACAATTATTTGCAATGAATGAAAAAAAACTTTTATGAGATCATCTGATAAATATCTTTCAATTCTTCCTTTGCATCTTCGCCTTTTTATTTAAGATTCCTGATCCAAAATAACTGAAATTGCATTCCAATATTTTTAATACAGATAACTCAAATTCCAAGTAATCCCAAGAACTTTACAATCTCATAACTTTGCAACAACATTCTAATCATAATACGCATTGTATCCCAAACAAGCAAGCATTCCATTAACTGGCAAACATTTTATTCCATTAACAAGCAGATGTCTTAACAGACGCACATTATCTGGTTAATCTGGATTAGACAGTTTCAGCTCCTATCTCCTATCCCAGATTAATCAAGCCTTGAGAACAACCAATAATCTTTCAGTAGGTTTTAAAAAGTGAGAAAACAATGTAACAGTAGACTGAATTCCTGTGGATTCAATTTTTTCTGAGAAATGCGAGAGACAACCCTAATTCTGGATTTACTGCTAAAGAAAAGTCGGTTTGATCGATTCTTGAGCCAATCTTAAAAATCAGAGAAAACCCTAGGGTTGTGATTTCTTGTGAAAAAGGGAGGGCAAATTTTGGGGTACAACACTATTTTATAAAAAAATGCGGACAAAACAGATCTGATTGATGGATCCGTTTTATCACCTCTACTTATACTCCTTGAAAACGAAGAACAACATGTGTACACGGTATTATAACACATTATATAACACCTTATCAAAATACATCAATAACGAGTATTAATTAACTAATTGAAAGATAATTTATTTTTTAAATTGATAACCATATAAAGATATTATGTTCATTCATTATTTTTTTAATGACTAAAATATATTTGGATTAGCGGTGAATAAAATTGATTCTAACAGAATTAATTCTAATAGAATTGATTGTATCAGAATTGAGTTTGACAAAATTGATTGTATTAGAATTGAGTTTGACAGAATTGATTTTTGTTTGATTATATTTATGTAAAAGTGAATGAGATAATAAATTTAAATGTAAAAACATTCAAAATCAATCAATCTGAAAAAATAAAGTACAAATTCTAACTTTAAATAAAATTAATTCTTGTAACAAAATCAATTCTTTTATCAAAATCAAATATTTCAAAATTATTCAAAATCAATTATATACTTTTAAAATTATATTTGCTTATTTTAAAAGCCAAATCAAACGTGCACTAATAGTAATACTAAAGACATTTGTGTGCACTAATAGTAATACTAAAGAGATTTGTATTTCATGTTGATTAATTATCAAATATTTATAAATTTTAATTTTGTTTAGATATTAACATAACATGCAATGCAACCAATGCAACAAAATTTATGGGTACGCACGATAGTTTGTACACTTATAAACAAAAACAGTTTCTTTTACATCTATTACACAAATGGTGATTCATGTTCAACTAGCTAAGCACCTACACAAATCTCTGAATCTCAAACCAAAACCCTTAACCTTCTTCTTCTCATCTTCTTCTTCTTCACAACAACAACAACAACAACAACAAATCACTGTAACTTCCGCAGTTTCAATCCTCACCAATCAACGTTCCAAATCCCGCTGGAACACTCTCCATTCCCTCTACCCAAACGGCTTCAACCCCATCGATTTCTCGCAAATCACTCTACACCTCAACAACAAACCCCACCTCGCACTTCGCTTCTACCAATGGACCAAATCCAAATCCCTCTGTCACCACAACCTCTCCTCCTACTCCACCATCATCCACATCCTCGCTCGTGGCCGCCTCTACTCACACGCTTACAACACCATCAGAACCGCTCTGAATTCCGACACGCCGTTGAAGCTTTTCGAGACACTTGTCAATTCTTATCGAGATTGTGGGTCTGCTCCTTTTGTTTTTGATCTGTTGATTGAAGCGTGTTTGCATTCTAGAAAAATTGAACCTTCGGTTGAAATTATTAGAATGTTGCTCTCCCGTCGGATTAGTCCCAAAGTTCTGACTTTGAATTGTTTGATTTCTAGGGTTTGTCGAAAATTTGGGGTGGATGTTGGGTATGAGATTTACCGGGAGTTTTTTAGGTTAGATGAAGAAAAATATGATTTTTCGAAAAGGGGTTATGGTTGCAAAGGTTTTAGAGTTGTCACCCCGAATGTGCATACTTTTAATACATTGATGTTGTGTTGTTATCAAAATGGTTTGATGGAGAAGGTTGAGGAGATTTGGAGTGAAATGTGTGAAATGAATTGTAATCCTAATGGTTATAGCTATAGTTTATTGATGAGTGCATTTTGTGAGGGAGGGAGGATGGGAGATTGTGAGAAGATGTGGAAGGAAATGAGGAAGAAGGAAATTGAGCCTGATGTGGTTAGTTACAATACTATAATTGGTGGGTTTTGTAAGATTGGTGATGTTGGAAAAGCTGAGGAGTTTTTTAGAGAAATGGGATTGGTTGGTATTGATGCAACTGTTTCAACTTATGAGAATCTTGTTAAGGGGTATTGTAATGTTGAGGATGTTGATTCGGCTGTTCTTGTTTATAAGGATATGTTGAGGAAGGATTTTAGACCTGATGCATTAACCCTTGATATGGTGGTTAGGTTACTTTGTGATAGAGGTAGGGTTGAAGAAGCTATGGAGTTTTTCAGGAGTGGAGTTGCTGACTTTGATTTGGTTCCAAAGGAGAAGAGTTATGAGGCCTTGATTAAGGGGTTGTGTTTTGAGGGGAGGATGGAAGAAGCATTGAAGCTTCAGGCAGAGATGGTAGGAAAAAGGTTTGAACCTAATTCAGACATATATGAAGCTTTTATTAATGGGTATATTAGACAAGGGAATGAGGAAATGGCAGAAGCTTTGAGGAAAGAAATGGTGCAAACTCATGCAGAGCTAACAAATTAATTAATTTTTGCTTGCAATTAACTGTAAAATCTGAAATCTGTATACTATCTTTGGATTCATTTACAATAGAAGATTGAACATGAGTCTGGTAGGCTTTTTATGATTTCCTGTTCTTGGTGTATCTGAATCATGGAAACTTTGTGCGCGAAACAGAATTAAACAGACCAATCTGATAAATATGTCGAACTCCATGGACCATAAGTACAATTTTGTATTAACATTGAGCTTTCTCTATACTTAACTATTACAAATACATGTTCTGAGTTTTTAAGTTATACATCACTAACAAACTAGGATTGTCTCATGTAAAATTCAGAAAAGTATTACAAAATAAAACAATGGCCAATCTAATATTTTTACAGGCAAATTAAATGAGAATCACAAAGAGGGTAACAGATACAGGTTAAAAAGAGAGGATGCCAAGGACAGAAACCATGACACAAAAGCCAAAGCTGCAGATATCCTGTACCTGCAGCAAAGCTTTATAGGACAAAAAGATCCTTGGGAATTAAGCAGGAGATCTACAACACTAGCTGTTGAGGAAGCTGCTGCTAGTGTGAGTGTTGATAAAACCTGTAACAATTAAACTCAAGTTACCAAACAGATTTTTGCCAGTATTTCATCTAAATGCATGTTCCGTCGGTCGCCGTCAATTCGAACATGCACTAAATCAACTTATAGATTAGAGAGTAAGTACATACCCAATCTCCCACAACAATAAGCAATAGTATTCCTGGTTGACGAATAGGGCACTTAACCAGTACAGAGTATCCATCTACCAAAGCTAATGTGAAACTCCAAGGGATAACCAGACCCATGATTGTCACCAAATAGCTACCACATGAATAATGAACACACACAAATTAGCCACTTAATTAATGGAAAACTATATGAATTTACTTATAAGATTGATACAATAACAGAAGCAAAAATATAAGCATGTTAGTGCTACATAGATTACTATGCTTTAAAATTATCACAAAGAGAATAGCAGAGAAAAGAGAAAGTACCAGAAAGCCGTGTAGCTGTAGAATTCAACTCCCAAAGACATAAAGAGAAGGGAAGCAGATGAGAACAAAGTCTGGCCTAATCTCAGACAGAAGCTGACACCTGTGCCCACAGAACCAGGTAATTCATTCATGTAACTTATTCTTATAGGGTTTTCAACTATATAATTCTAATTTTGTTCTTTCCTCTTCCCTTTGTAATAAGCAACTATCATATATTGTTCTCCTTCAACTACAAGACTCAACCATACACCCCCACCACCTAGTATTGTCATCTAAGCTTAGCTGAATCTTTTTATGAAAACACAAAATCATTGTCTATAATAATATCCAATATCTCACAACACCTAAGAGTCAAACATGATTCACTTTGCATCAGTTGATCTTTAACACTTCTTTTCCAAAAAGAAACTTCATGAATGAAATTTTTTGGCTAGGTGGAAGCTTGGTATAAGTGCAAAAGCTTTTGCTATATTAGTTGATTGAGCAATAATGCAGTTTCCTTAATTATCACAATTGAGTTCCTGTTTTTTCGGTGGCATGTCCTTAGCACCGCTAAATATATCAGATTTCTGTGATAATACTTTTAAGGTAGATTTGGATAGCAGCAATGTTTTTAGGTGCATATTGTAGAAATAGTTTAAAATGTTTTTGATTTTTGGAAAATTAGTTATATTCTAAAGTGTGATCAATAAGATGCTTACTTTGTTAGATTTGATCCTTTATTTGTTTATATTTGGTTAATATACCTTTCATGTGGTTTTGAATGGTCGTTGATCCTGTTATAAGGACGAGGCAACGTAGGCATATGTCCAAAATGAATTCATACCATTGCTTTAACAGGGAACATAGATTCTACATTTGTCACAATCTTATTTGACCCTATTTTCATTGGTGAAATGATTCGATCATACGAAGCAAGTGGATGTAATGTGTGGCAGCATTTTTAAGTACACAGCTTAATTCAGCATGTAAATATCTAGACACTTTCCAAACTTTTATCTCCAAAGGTATATATATATATATATATATATATATATATATATATATATATATATATATATATATATATATATATATATATATATATATATATATATAATATCCAAGTATACACTTTATATAAATGGCATATGCCATGAGTAAGATACATATTATATTTTTAAACCTACATTTTATTCACTTTGAACTCTGTAATAAACTTGTACGTTGGAGTGTTAATCTTGCACGTCTATTTCACACCATCGTATCAGAGATCCATACCACCGCGTCAAGCGTTCACTATCACATATAAATCATAATTCTGGTTCACGTACAGACTAGTAGCATCGTTTACGGAATCGTCAATTAATTCATTTGATCCAAAACCAGATCACAATTAAACCATGATGGGAAGGAGGAATTCATCTCCAATGTCGCACCATGTAACTCCTCTGAACCTCCCGGTCCAACGTCGATTTCGATTATTATAACTAAGGAGACCAGAAAGGAAGCGCCATAACGATGACGATCCTCGGGCAAGAAATCTCCTCCTATCGGAAAGCTAAACTAAAAGAAGTTATAAATTGACGCTATAGTGATAGAAAAACCGAACCTCTCATGCAAATTTCAAAATTCATCCTTATCATTGCGACAAGTAACACTATGCTAAAACACTCAAACAACAATGGAAACTCGATTGATCAAAACGTGGCTTTAGACGAACATGAATGTAGATTTTGATTTTGATTTTGATTTTGATTTTGTGTAGGTCGAGTTAGAGTGAAAAGGGAAAACTTCGCGCATAAAATGTAGTCACCAACAACCTATAAAGGCTGGCGTACCTGCCGAATCTAACTCAAGAAAAATTTATAAGAAAACTGCAGATAGGTATTTCGTTACAACTCGATTGAGTATAACACCATCAGTAGACAAAGGAAATTATCTCCATATCTCCTAGGGAACAACATCAGGAAGAGACAAATGGGGTATCCACCAATGAAGTCGGACTATTAAAACATATTGCGACTTGATGTTGAAGGCAATATCATATAGAAGATAATCGGGAAGGAGAAAGGTAAAAGCTCTGAGGGAGATCCTGAGACTGCGATCTCGCACAAACACTAAGCACAAGAACCAATATGAGTTGAATTATCCTCCTCCTCACAGATTATCAGAGAAACAGGTGACCCTTAAAGAGATCAAGGTTACTTCCCAAACAGTCCTGAGACCATGCATCTAAAGTCCAATAACATAACCCCCACTAAAAGTGAGGCTGGCATCCAATCCGACTATCAAAGGAGCACATGTGAACCTCCATGGGCCGACTCTCAAAGAAGTGCATGATGATCCTAATGTGAAGATGATCTCTCTTATGAACTTGACTGTGTTTTGATGAAGACAACAATATTAACAAAGAAAAAAAAGATGAAGAAAATGATCATTCAAAAGCAAATGGAAAAGATTGTGTGGACTTTAAGTAGATTTCTACAAACCTAATTATAATGTGGATTTTAAGTTGTATTTTTGTTAAGGTTTGTGTGTTATTTGCGAGCATCTCTAATATCATTTTGATACAAGAGTAGGACTGTCTATTTTGAGTTGTAAGTTTTGTTGATCACTCATAAGCTTTTAAGCATTGAATGATTGTGTGTCTTTGAAGTGTGTCTTTCAAAATTATTCTAAATTGTCTAGAGTTGTTTAATCACTGGTGTGATTGAAAGGGATTTGAGAAGGGTCTCATAACTAGGTGAGTCTTAGGTATAAGTTAAGCACATGTGGTGATTAAGTGAGTAGATTGTAAACTGGTAAAAGTTTGTTGTGGATCTACAAATTGATACTACTTATTTGACTTCGTCCCTAACTTGGTAGCCCTCTGAGTTGGTGTTGTTGTACATCGAATTGGGATAACAATTATGTGCGTTCCTTTATTTTTCTATATTTTTTAATTGTTATACCTTGCCATTATGTTTTTGGTCATAAATCAGTGTCTCGGCATCTTAGGACATCTGAGATCTGAATACCAAATTTTCAATTGGTATCAGAGCAGACAACCTGATCTCTACCTGGGTGAGGTTCAAGGAAGATACTTTCTGGTACAATGAACAAGGAATGAGGATTTGTGAACAGACCACCAATTCTTGATGAAACCAATTATGACTACTGGAAAGCTCGTATGGTGGCTTTCATCAAGTCCATAGACAATAAATCTTGGAAATTTGTTGTCAAAGGATGGGATCCACCAATGACTAGAGATAAGGATGGGAAGACTACTGATGTGCTGAAGGCTGGGGAAGATTGGGATGATGAAGATGATAAGTTAGCAGAGGGAAACTCCAAATCATTGAATGCCCTATTCAATGGAGTGGATAATAACATATTCAGATTGATAAGGAATTGTACTATTGCTAAAGAAGCTTGGGAAATTTTGAAGACTGCTCATGAAGAAACCTCTAAGGTGAATATGTCAAGACTTCAACTTCAAACTACCAAGTTTGAGAACTTAACAATGAAGGAGGATGAAAGTATTCATGACTTTCACATGAATGTTATTGAGATAGAGAATACCTCAAGTGCCCTGGGGGAAATATGCCAGAATCTAAGTTGGTCAGAAAAATTCTCAGATCTCTTCCAAAAAGATTTGACATGAAGGTGACTACCATTGAAGAAGCCCAAGATATAAACAACATTAAGGTTGATGAGCTTATGGGATCTTTACAAACTTTTGAATTAGGGATCAGTGAAAAGTATGAGAAGAAGAAAAGCATTGCTTTTGTCACTAATACTGAAGACTTAGAAGATGAATGTGACTTAGATACAGAGAAAGAGTTGTCTAACGTAATTTTTCTTCTTGGAAGACAATTCAATAAAGTTGTGAAGAAGATGAACTGGAAGTTAAGATCAAATGTCAAGAACAATTCATTCGACACCAACAAAAATTAGGACTATGGTAAAAGGCCCAGAACTGAAGAGAAGACTAATCTAGGAAAATGAGTTCAATGTCATGAATGTGAA